AGTACAACACATGAGTATCAAGGAAGAACAAAAAATAGGCATTTTTCTTAAATAACATCTCAATAATGTGTTTCCTCTCTTTGCAGACAACAATGAGTGTGCCGCTCAGAACAGTGTGTGTGGTTCCCGGGCCTCTTGCGTCAACACGCCTGGTAGCTTCAACTGTGAATGCTCTAAAGGTTTCTCGTTGGACACCACAGGCGTGGAGTGTGAGGGTGAGCCGACACAGAAACATTTGCATTTAGTTAAATATAGTTTAGAGGGCCAGGTCTCTCACACAGGGTCCTTTTTAAATTCCCAAATCATGTAAGCATGGAAAGAGTTCTGCTTGGGTGTTTGTGATCAAGGTTGTTGAAATCGGGAAGAAAATACTGGTTGCAGTGATCTGCACTAGTGTCACTACTGAAAATGAGAAATAAAAAGCCTTTATTTTCATTTTCCTCAGATGTGGATGAGTGTGGCAGTAACCACCGCTGTCAGCATGGCTGTCAGAACATGCTGGGAGGTTACCGCTGCGGCTGTCCTCAGGGCTACGTGCAGCACTACCAGTGGAACCAGTGCGTGGGTGAGTGACACCGACTGTCTGTGACAGTAATGAACATCAAAGGCACCAGTACACAGTTGTAAAGAGAACCTGGGGAATTATATTATAAGACTGCAACAATATGTTAATCTAATCTTTGTGTAAAAAATCGCTGATTCATGTAAGCAGAAATGTGGTATTACTTCAAACAATTTTGCAATCACATTTCTCCTTTAATTACTAGTTTTTAGGAAAATTCCATGCTATTGTGGGATCAGTGTCAAAATCATTCTTCATCAGATTTTATTTGACACTAAAATAACCATTTAGATTTACTGTTTTACAGAAAGTTATTTTTGTTATTGATCTGAGTGATATGAAAAATAGATATCAGGATGATCATATCATGTTAGTATAAAACAATTTGAAATTCTTCTTAAAAATATAACGATAACTGAAACTCCTCTGAGGTGCTGTGCATAAGAATATGAAACTTGTTTTAGAAGTAATTTACTCCTTGAATTTTGATGAAAAAATCTCATAAGTCATAATAATGATCATATGATGATATTGGCAGTAATGCTGAGTTATTATCTATCCCCATTAAAATAAGTTGCTACTAGGCGTGTACTGTATCATCTCCTAACACACTCATCTTCTCATTTTCTGTCTCTTACCTCGGCAGATGAAAACGAGTGTCAGTCAGCGACAGTGTGTGGCTCCGCCTCCTGCTACAACACACTGGGCAGCTTCAAGTGTGTGTGTCCCTCTGGCTTTGACTTTGAGCAGGCCGCTGGTGGCTGCCAAGATGTGAATGAGTGTAGCACCGGCAGCAACCCCTGTATGTACGGCTGCTCCAACACAGATGGAGGCTACCTTTGTGGCTGTCCTGGAGGTTTCTACAGAGCCGGACAAGGGTGAGGGAACACAAATTAAAGATTAGTTTTAGCAACTGGTGTTTCTCAAGTGGAAAGTGGTGTCTGTAGATATTTTTTGCATAAAACATTTGAGCAGTTTTCAATGGCTGGGAGCGTTACCTATGAATTTGAAACTAGTTTTCATTCTTACTTAACATATTAAACTCACTTCTTGTTTCCATCCAGTCACTGTATAACAGGCTCAGGTTTGCCAAGCCAGTTTGCTGAGGGTGAGGAGGATGACAGCCTGTCTCCTGAGGCCTGCTACGAGTGTAAGATCAATGGTGGCGGAAAGAAGGGACGACAGAAACGCAATGCTGATGAAAATGAGCTCAACCAGGTTCGTGCGTTGACAAACAGCTTCACAATGCTTGTTTTAGTTCCTGCCAGTTTGAGGGTCAGGGCTCGGTGACTTTTTTAAATTATTCAGAATCAGTATGCTCTGAAATTAGTCTGTTGAGGTCTATATTTGAGTGTGTGAAGTTTCTGATTCCCCTCCCTCCCTCTGTCCTTGTCCTTACTGTAGGACACAAACATAAGTATGGCCAGCGTGGACACCCAGGACTCCATCTTCATGAACCTATCTCGACCCTTGCTGCTCAACAAGGAGCCTCTTCTAGAGCTTCTGCCTGCCCTGCAGCCCCTGGAGAATCATGTACGCTATGTCATCACCCATGGCAACACTAATGAACACTTCCGTCTGCTTGAACGCCGTGATGGAAAGAGTGTGCTCCGGTTTGGCAAGAGGCCGCCTCCACCGGGATCCTACCGACTAGAGATCGCCAGCCTGCGGCTGTTTGGGCCCCGAAGACTACACCAGCTGGAGGAGCAGCACGACAGTGACTACCTACAAGGGGAAATAGGAGACGCCCTGCGCATCAAGCTCCACATCCTCCTGCACTGAGCACAGAGTGCGCTCACAATTCTGTCCTGGACTGATTCTAAAGCCTTTGAGTTTTAACCTGCCCTTTTATCAATAACTTCTCCCCTCCAGCTCCCTCGTGCAGGACCATCCCCACCAACAGGGGTTAATTAAGGGCTGTGAAAGACTGAGTCAATCAGCCCAACTCTACCACCACTTTGTTACTGTTTATGTTATTATGTGTTCATGTTTTGTGTTTAAAAAAGAAAAATCCTGGCTACACTTCCTCTTGCGCCCCTCCACTTGTACCTGACCCAGCACTCATTCTCCACTGAGAGAGCCAGTGGAGGAGATGGCAGAGAGGTACCCTAGTGCTTGGACCAAAGCCCCCTAAAAAAGACAAAAATGGCAGACAGATGGTTCACAAGTCCATGAAGCGCTTTTGACAAGCAATCAAGAAATTACCACAAAAGTTTTATATTAGAAATTAAGTGCTGAGAGTGGCCAAAACTGTCTTTATGCAAAATGTATGGGAGTATTTAAATCACAGTGCAGGATCTAAAGTGATGTCATTTTTGTTAGTGTTATAAAGAAGTAATAGGAAGGCTGAAGATAAGGGGGATAGGTGCCATCATGGTGGTCCAAGGGCTTTCTCACCTCTCTGTGATCTTGGTAAAAACACAACACTGGGGAACAAGGTTTGTCACATCCGCCCCTCTCAGTATTGTAGTGTGTCATTTAATGTATTTGTGCTGTTTGAATAATGTTAACACAAAGGACTGCAACATTTACACAGCATTTCAGGTTCTTTAGTCCACATGTCTGTTTTATGGCTGGACACCAACCAATTTTCAGACAAGAAAACAGCAAGCTGTGTTCTGGTCTGATATGACTGACTTTTGTCCTGCCTGCAGGCAGCGGCAAGCGGGAATTAGCGTGTTTGCGTGTGTGTGCTGTCATGTTTGGTTACCTCAGTACTTCTCAGCGAGTATGGACACCATGCTGTGATGCTGACTTTAAAACAAAAGAGGGTGCTAGTGTTGCTCAGCATCCATCATGAGCAGGGAACACACCAGTTACTAGCTCGTAGACTTAAAAGAAGATAGATCAAGTCACTTTTGTATGTATCCTTGTAGGGATTAAGGCTTCAGGTGCACTGATTCCCTTGTCAGCTGTCAGAGGCTTGCAGCGTCTCGTGGTTCTGCATTTTTTCAAACTCCTTAACATAAATGCTTCAGCAGAATAGAGCTGCGTCTGACAGTTGGTGTTGAGGGGGCTGAACTTGACAATAGGCGGACGTTATCTGACTTCTTTGACTTTACTGTGAGCTTGATGTCTGAGGTCTGAGCCTCGTTTACAACACAAGGAGACACACAGCTGAATACAGCAACAGTCTCAAAGGTACATGACATGTTAACATTACCTAAGCTGTAACTAAGGGTAGTGCTTTATAGTGTAAGGGCACGCACAGGTGAACACAAAACCTCACAAAAAAACAAATATCTGTCGGGTCATCTTTCATTTTTAATGATTTTTTTTTCTCTCAAAGAGAAAAAGGGTGCTAGATAATACCATCTCTTACGCTGTACAAACAAGTGCAGTCTTGAATCTAGATTGCAAAAGTGACCTTTTTTTTGCTACGATTTATTGTTGTTGTGTATGTCTGTCTTTTGTATTGTGTCAGTGCTGAAAAAACAATATTATCAAACTTGCTTCTTGAAAATTAAATTGTATATTTTTAAGTGAAATGTAGATGTTTTTTTTAATGTCAGGGCTGCCAAATCAAATACTCACAGTGAACCCAAGATTGAAGGCCTTTAGTGCTGTTGACTATGCTTTGTTGAGGAAAAAACAGAAGCAAAAAGCAAATGCAGCATTGTATTTGTTGACTGTATTGTTTGGAACCACTGTCACCAGCCAATTGCAACAATAAATTAACACACATAAGAAATAAAGATAATTAACATTCCCATCATCTATTATCTCATACAAGCTTACACTGTCTGTACCATGCCATAGGGATCAGTGCAAACTTGACCATCTCCAGCATGAATCTATGGTGCTAAAAGATCATCTTTATCTCTTAACAGTCAAGGTTGCTGCACTGTCCCACAGCCTAGGCAATGTTTATAATATATAACTATTTTCTAACCTGGGAAACTTTGTATACTTTGTATCTTTATTGTCAGTTTGTAATTTTCCTTTTATTTGCCACTATGTTTTAAAAAAGAGGCAGTGTCTTCCGTGTGCTTACTGTATCTCAGCTTCAATGTCAAACTTGAAACAATACTGTCGCCATCTGCTTGCATTGAAATATGTGCTTTATACTTTATACTTTAGAGAATAAGGAGACTGTTTCAGTTGCTGCTGAAGTTTCAGTTGAAAGCTAAAATGACAATCATCCAGTCACACCACATCTACTAGCTGACGATCAATAAATCAATCAGCCATCAAAGAACATCTTTTAATATCCTGAATGATCATCATTTTTGTTTAAAAACAAAAACCAAAGATTCCTGACACCAAATGGAAGTCTGTAAAATTAGAGTGATTCAAATAATATTGTAAACTTTTGTCCAGTGACATTATTGGCAATAAAGTATTGTGGGTTATATTTTTAAAGTCTTGTGTCCTGAGTTTTTCTTTTATGCTTGTGTGCAAACGTCCGTGGCTAACAAAAGCAACAAAAGGTAACAAATAAGTAGCAATCATTTTATTTCATTTCCAGCATGAACAATGTGGACTTTCCACACAGCCCATCTATCAGTGGAAAGTAGGAAGAATAATTGAGGAAGAAAATCCTTTTTTTATTTTCATTGATTCAACCCAGTGTATCAAAAACAAAGCAGATAGCCAGAAAAATATTTAATTAAAAAACACACCAAAAAAGCAAAGCTACCTGCTTTGCCTCCTTCTAAAACGTGGCTGCATGACTACCTCAAAAGTCCACAGTCTGAAGATTGATACAGTAAGAGGAGAAGGACAGAAAGATAGCAAAAAGGTGACTCCCAAACTTGAGTCAGGAATAGAAAAATAAAGCTTTCTTTTGCCTAAAGGTTGCTGCTTCATAACCACACTTGTCAGGCTGACTAAAGCAAAGGACACAACCAGTGAACGTAAACACTACTTGCAGTAATAAATGATTATATAGTTTCAATATGGCTTCTCAGTTATAGACACAGTAACACACAAAACATACACGGACAAACTTTTATGGAGACACAAACTACCTGCTTGGGACTTAAAAAGCATCTGAAACTACAGTGCTGCTCGAGGATCAGTGTCCAAAATCTAAAATAAATTTGAGGATTTGTGCTCCTTGACCAGCACTTTAACACTTGGAGGTTTAACAACGGCCATTGGTTCATTAAAGGGGCATCTGCTTTTGCGTAAACTCCTTCATTTAAGTTCTGCTTGTGTTCTGCATGTCGAAGCGTGCTCATCAGAAATGTAGCTTTGAGGTTAGAAGCAATGTCGTGAGTGAATGTGGTCTTCCCAAAGTCATATTGTGTTTTCATACTGACAAGCTCTGGAGTTTGGAAAACCTAGCCCTAAAGTGATGTTGTGATGTGGTAGCTTGTTCGACTAGTACAGTAGGTCAGATTAAGGCAGAAGTGCAGCTCATTATTTCTGTCCTTCAAGGTCCAACATGGCTTACAGGGATTCCAGTTGTCTGTCTGTTGTTGAACCAGACTTGTTATGGTTACATTGCATCCTGCAGCCTCATATTTATAGCAGCACACAGGCTGAAATATGTGATATAAACTGGGCATACTTCAACGAACCCCCTTATACTGCATTCACAATATTATATATTGATGCAGTCCATTTCCACATCTTAATTAGTCAGTGCTCTTAATGATTCTGCCTATATGCAATGAAATAATCCCCTTTTCACCCCCTTGTTACACATCACCCTACACCAGTGCATAATCAAACTGGCCCCTCTCCAACCCCTCCTTGTGGTCAGTCCAGGATGATGCAGGCATGCGGCTGTAGGGGTCCAGCAGGATCCTGAAGCACCTGACCAGCAGGAAGACCAGGAAGAGCATGAGGAGGCCTACGAAGGCCAAGGCAGTGCGCTGCTCATTGTCCACCCCAATCAAGGTCAGAGGGGGGCTGCTGCTGCCACCGCCAGGGCTGCTGGGGAGTGAGGAGCTGGCCGGGGACAGCAGCAACTCGTAATCAAGTGTGGGCACATTGTTCATCCTCCACGAGGCCCGAAGGCAGGGCTTACACACTGAATGGATGGGTGGTGTATTGGGAGGAGGTATGGAGAAAGAAGGGAAGGTGTTCATGAGGTGTGGTGCAGAAGGAAAGGCCAAAATGGAGTTTGATTACAAGGCTTAATAAGAAGGCAGCTTACACGTTTTATATTGCAGACCCTGTTTGTTGGGTGAACGGCATGTGACCTAAAGAAGAAGTTAGGTAGCCTGAGTTAGCAGGTAATTAACAAGTAATAGCTGCAGAGCACTCGCCAGGTGAGAGAGTGTGATGTATTTGTCCAAGATAAGTGTGTATTCCGATCAGGGCAGGAATCATCTTCCTCTGCTGGCCAGTTTATTTAGTGAAATGTAGGTCAGTCAAGGTGACATGACCCAAAAAGGCCTGGCCCTAATCTGTTCTGACAATGTGACAGACACACATGCACACACACACACACACACACACACTTTTCAATTAATATGGACTATGCTTTAGTGTCACGTGTTTTGAGGAACTAACTAAACAGTGTAATGAGGCTCTATGGCTTTCTTATTTGAGTAGCCGACCCTCAGGCGGTAATGTTTTTAGAGTATTTATTAGGGCCACTCTGCCACATCAGCTCTCTCATTCTCACTCTCAGTCAGAGCAGACAGGATGCGACACTGCCTCCTGCTAATGCAAACACAGAAACACGTGTCCAGATCGCAGTCAAGGTCAGTGTTCTCTGTGGGAGTTAATAGTGCACAGATGTACTTCCAACACCCAATTGGGTATAGCTGTCTTAAGAGTGTGAGCCAGTCTGTGTGTTACAAACACAAGGCTATTTAAAGCATCTGCAGAGGCCAGCAACAGCAGGTGTGTGTTGTGTGCACACGTGTGGGTGTTTTTGTGTGTGGCTAATTAGATCAGGAGGTCAGTGGATCAATGGCATATAAAACAGAGCATCACCTCTGCTGATATTGCCTGCTAGATATTTTCCCTTTTGCTCACAGGAGTGTGATAATTGGGTCAAAGCTGTCAAGTGTTCAAATAAGTTGGGATGATCTTTTGACAAGCAGAGCTGCAGGGAGCAGTAGAGAATGAGTTTGAAAGTTCTGAGAGGGTGAGTTTGTAGTTATTAAACTGCCATTAACAAAAAATGACTTCATCCAGTTTGATCTTCTGTCTATTGAATGCAGAATCTGTTCATCGTGCTGTTCCACCGTCTTCAGCAGACATGACAGAGGGTCGTTACCAGACGTGACGTCATCAGATGTTCCTGGTTTAAGCCGAGCAACCGGTGCAGCTCCTTTTAACTCGCCACCTGAAAGAAAAAGATTAGGAGAACATTGAGATAGTTGTCCAAAAATGGCACTAATAAAGCTCTTATGACGACGTTTAATGTGCACAATATAACATAAGTGCGCAGTGAAATTCCCTAAAATAAAATAAAGGCATTGCACAACTTTTCCATTAGGATTGATTATTTCTAATGTGAACCATAAGGAGCAGATTAAGTCATTCCTTCCTCATTTCATCATACGATTGTGATTATTACCACCCTTTGCTCCATAAGTAACAGAGACAGTGACATCAGCCATCTGTGGGGAGAACACAGCATCAGCATCCCCTATAGTGACACTCAATTAGTAAGCTGATTATGGTGTCATTACGGCCACATTAGCAGTAATGAATGCATTATTAAAAACACTGATACACACATTATAGCACCCTCATTCGTCAGCGCACTGTTACTGTGGGTATTTTGTTCACTTGTTGACCCCCTTCATTCATTTGCTCACGATGGAGGGACAAAGTGTTGTACAGCCTCATTAATAATCAAAAATCACATCTCCTGTGGCGGACCAAATTTCAAATCATTGAGGAAACATGATATGCAAACCATTTTTTCCTGCTCGCCCATCTGAATAGAGTGGTGACTGGGCTATTTGCTTAGACAAACGTGATACGGAGAGATATGCAGAGCACTTTGTGTGTGTGTGGAAAGATGCTTAAGAGAGACAAAGACAAGAGGACGAAGGGGGTAGAGAAAGAGGAGAGAGAGAGATGGTTGGTAACAGGAAGAGACACTAACAGAAAGTGCTTTTAAATTTTAGGTTAATGTATTAAGGGGCGAAAATGGACAGAGGTGCAGAGATTGAGTTAAATTTGAATTTCTGATAAATTTACAGCAATGACTTGGTTATTATCGAGAGGTACAAAGAAAGACAGACGACGATAAAAATAGGAATGTCGGATAGACAAAAAACACAGGTAGATGAAAAGAAAATTATTCAGATTGATAGAGGACATAAAGATGGATGAACAGAGTGGAAGTTCCTGTGGTGAACGGGCAGCAGTACAGAGGAGAGAGGAGAGGTTTGCTGGCACTAACCGGACTGACTTTCCTCTGCATGACCATGGCAAAATGCCTTTTTCATATACTCACTCTCTCTGTGTCTTTCTCTCTGTCGCTTTCAGTTCAAAGGTTTTCTATCTGCTACTTCATCAGCCAATGTCTCCAGGGTGGTTGGTGCACCGTACTCAGGCTGGCAGTAGAATGACACACCTGGGAGGTGGCACTCACACTGAGAATAAATGCGCACTTCTGTGTGTTCACAAATAGACCTGCTGTGTGTGTGTGTGTGTGTGTGTGTGTGTGTGTGTGTGTGTGTTCTAGCTTGTCACTGCCTCTGACTGATGTGAGTTGCAAAAACAGGTGAACCTTGAAACTCTTTTCAAGGACATTTTTATATAATTATTTATATTGATAGTTTTTAAACCACGCTTATACAATTTTTTAAGGCTTTTGGGGATAGTGTTTTTCAGCAGTTACTATTTTTTAGGTTGTTACATGCATTAAAGGGAGATAAGTGATTCTGCAGAGGGATTGTTGATATTTGAACTCAACTGTCAAACAAACACACCCCTCCCTTTAGTGATATTAGTCATATAACTTCTGTTTAGACTCTTCAGACCTTTTCCTCTTTTGCAGTTTCTTGGCCATCTCTCCTTCTTAAAACTGCCTGGAGTACAGCATGTTCGACTGTGCCAGTGTATAGAACTCTCTCTGCCACTGGTCCTATGCACCTGCACTAACACCACCTGTTGTGGATTGGCTGGAACAATGTTGTGTGGCAAGGTCCACACCACTTTCTTTGTTTTCCATTTACAGAGCCAGTGCTGTGTAGGAAAAAAATGATAATTTTTTCAGAGCACACACAAAACAGAGAGGTAGCATACTGTGAGGGAATATTCACTGAATCCCTTATTATTTAAGAAGAATGTTCTAATTGTTAAGAAAGAGTCAGAAAAAAGTAATTCTAACACTGTCTTTACAACTGAAGCGGCAAATACGTGAAACCATTTGTAAGGGCTTTAGAATTATCAAAGTCATAATTTGTCAAAACAAGACTAAAGACGAACAATTCAATACTTGAGGTTCAATTCCAAACCTTGCCCAGGACAGATGGTCCCGCCCCCCCCATAATTATTTAGTGGCAGCATTCCTCCATTATCTCTCCCAATCTCATCACTAAGTTAGAGGATGATAAATAGACTGAAGGAGAGGGGGAATGGGCTTAAAGACGAGAAAGAAAAAGCATTTGTTCCCTTTGGAATAGTGAAATTTATCACATTATACAATAACAGGTACACCATTACTTCTTAGTTATGAACAGCTATTTAAGTGCTACGATGGCAAAAATGCTGTATTTCCTGCCTTTTGCAGCAAGCCTTTGTAGAGTCAGTGGTCAGACAGTTCAGACATGGGCTCCCAAGTGTGTGTGTGTGTGTGTGTGTGTGTGTGTGTGTGTGTGTGTGTGTGTGTGTGTGTGTGTGTGTGTGTGTGTGTGAATAAGTCATTGGAAGGTAGAGGGAGGACAGACAGAGATTGCTCAGCTTATTTTCCTCCTCGTTAAGTCTCACTCCTACCATCACCCTCCATCATCCTCATGCGCACACACACACACACACAGCCGTCCATCAACCTTGTCTCGCTCGACTCGCATTAGTTCTCGCCCACTCCATTTCTCCTCAAAGCACCCCAAAGACCCCTGAAATAAAGAGAAGCGAAGCGGACACTCGTCAGTCTTCAATGAAAAGACCTTAAATGGATACCTCTTTCACACACGCACACATTCATTCATATTAAAAAACACACAATGGAATAAATGCATAGAGATAAAAGTAGGCATACTTATGTTCATTACGTACACGCAATATATAGACAGAGATTAACTTAAACACAGAACACACACACACAAAAACGACACATCTTTCATCACTTTCTCACAAAGTAATTGGTCAAGCTAACGTTGACAGAACTCATCAAGGGGTAAATGAAATGAAGAGAGCTGAAAATAATTTAGTTACCTCTCAGGTGACCACGGTATCACCTTTTCCTTCCTCTATCCACCTCCCACTATCCCCACCCCCCCAACCACCCACATACACAGTGCTTGGCACTCTTAAATCTACAATCAAGTTTTACACTTTATTTTAACTGACCATATTTGGCAATTATAAGCAGTATAAACAATTAATAACTGGTTGATAAAACTCTATAATGTAGTTGTAAGCAGGTAAAAGGAAATTTTAAGCCTGTAATTGTTGCAATTACATTTGTGTAATTTATTACATGTTATTGTTTATGTTAAGCTAACATCGTTTCTATATTTTCTCGTCGATGTTATTTTATTAGTTTTCACAGTGGATTTGGAGCGAGGACTTCAATAAACCAGTAGTAAGAAAACCTCTTGTGTCTGCCTGTGCTTAGTGGGAATTACAAAGCGCTTATTAAGTATTTGTCGGCAATTAGTTATAACTTCTCCTACGAAGACATATTCTATATTATTACAACGCACTGTATCATTTGTTGACATATACATTTATAAATACTTATATCTGCTTACACCTACATTATAGTGTGTTATAAAACGTTTGTTTCATCTTTATACACTGCTTAGGCAAGCAAAGTTTATGTACTTCACTTCAAGTTGAACTTTATTTGACATTTTCCAGCTCTGATCATATTTGACACCAGAGCTGCATTTTGGTAAAAAGAGCAAATCTTTGGTGCCACATTAATAATTTCTCTGCGATGGAAGGTTGTTTTTTCTGTTGCTGTCCCAAGTTATGATTGACATTTTCTTTGCCACGTGCTCTCACTCTTTGTCCTGCTGTTTGTCTCTTGTCTGCTCTCTCTCATCTTTCATGCACCAACACAAATACCCCGAGACACACACATTCCACATCAAAACAAGGACAAGCATGATCTTTTCAGCAGGAAAACCACAGACCACCACTGCTTCTTTAAGCACACACACCAAGCCAGCATCCACAGGGTCCAGTGCAAAGACAGCCTTGATTTGTCATTATTTATAGCCTGGGTAAAGCCACTTTCTAAAAGTAATTAGACTTTCGAAACAATGAGAGAGAGACAGAGACAGAGACAGAGAGAGAGGGGGGGGGGGGGTAAATGCTCCCAGTCTCAGCCACAAACTGCTGGGAATTGGATTAACCCTTTCCAATTTGATGCTTATAAAGATAAAGTGGACCTGAAGAAAATGGGGAGCTGCATGAAATCCACAAGCTTAGATGGGTATCCTCCTTCACATCACTATAAAAGTAACACACATTGTGTCAAATGGTGGAGGGCCGCAGAGAGAATGTATCGATACCATCCACCATTAAGCCTTATTGATATCTTTTTGCTGTGATTCGTTGGTGTTTGTCTGGGCTCATTTGTCACCTCAGGGACCTAATGCCTGCCGTGGGTCTGTGGCTAATGAGGACAATGGGGACTTCACCTTGAGCTGCGTTCTCCAAACACCAACTTTATCTAACTTCAACATGTGAAGCTTAACCTTTTATAATACATCTTGTAAAGGAAGGGATTCACACACACACACGCACGCACACGCACACGCACACACACACACAATTTATGTGTACATATGCACACCCGATTTACCAGACCAAAACATGACCATCATGAGGTATTTTTAGCACCTGAGAGAAACAAAGTGTCTGTGGAGTGGTTTCTCTTTACACTTGGCCAGCAGTTCGACTCACGACCAGCCAGGTCCTCAGATAGCCCCCGTCATAATTAGGCTGGCAGACACTCAGTAGCTACAGTAATGGTGATAAAGTTAGGCAATTAAATATTCTGCTGTTCCAACACAGCCAGCCATTCTGCTCTCCGTACACACTTGCTTATGTACAAAAAGAAGGTGTGTATTTGTGTGTGAGAGGCAGATATAAAGACACACTGAGGGAGAGAGCGTCCTGTTCTTTCACTGAGTGTTCATGCAAATGAGAAGG